TGTCTCTTCATTTTAGTTGCCCCCTTTTTGACTGGATCTTGGGGAGGGGTCTGATTTTTTTTTTTTTTAGTTCTTTTTTTTTTAATTTCTTTTTTTTGATACAGGGTCTGACTATGTAGTTGAGACTGACCTGGAATTCACTGTGTAGTCCAGGCTGGTCTCGAACTCACAGCAATCCTCCTGCCTCAGCCTCCTGAGTGCTGGGATTCCAGGCGTGCACCACCATGCCCAGCTCTTGAGTTCTTTATATATTCTAGGTATTAGTCCTTTGGTGAATAGCTGGGAAATTTTTTTTCCATTCTATAGGTTGTCTCTCCACTTTGTTGGTTGTTTCTTTTGCTGTTTAGACGCTTTTTAAATTGATAAGATTCCATTTGTTAACTTGATGTTATTTCTTGCACAACTGGGGTTTTGTTCAGAAAGTCCTTGCCTACACCTGTAACTTCAAGAGTTTTACCTTTTTTTTTTATCTTCCAGCAGTTTGTTTCTCTTTTTTTGGTACCAGGGATTGAATTTGAATTTGTGAGGCAGGCACCAGAACCACTGAGTTAAATCCCTGGCCCCTAAGTGTTTATGTTTTAACATTCAGATCTTTGATTTTTCTTTATTTTAGTTTAGTACATGGTGAGAGATATGGGTCTAGATTCGGTTTTCTGCTGTGGATAGCTAGTTCTCCCAGCACCATTTGAAAGAGGCTATGTTTCCCTCAACAAATATTTGTGGCCCCTTTGTCAAAGATCAGTTAGCAGAAGGTGCCTGGAATTGTCTTTCTGCATCCTCGGATCTTGTTCATTGACCACAGGTCCGTTTTTGTGCCAGTCAGTACCACGCTATCGTTATCACTGTAGCTTTGCAATAAAAGTTGAAAGTCGAAGACTGTGATGCCTCCTGCTTTGCTTACCTTACTGACACTTCAGTTTCAGATTGCTGGCCCCTAGCCTATTAGAAGATAAATTTCTATTGTTTGAAAGCCAACTATGTGGTGATACTTTTTTCAGCAGCCCTAGTAAGCCAGTAAAGAGGCATGAAAAATGAAGTATCATGGTTACAAACAAAAAGTAATAACTATCAGCTGAAGGAACGCCTGCCTACGTTCTCGTTCATGGAATGGCTGGTTGCTGGGGCCTGGTTCTAGCTGCCAAGGTGCCATTCTCTGCAGCAGAAATGGGCTGTCCCAAACAGTCTGTTCTACAAGGTTCGAGTGAGGCCTGGCACTTGCAACCTCAGAGATAGGTCCTGAAGTTGTTCATCTCCCTTGCCCCCCGAACTATAGACTGAGGCACTCAAGAAGAGAGATTGTTCAAGTTGGCCCCTGAATAACAGCACCAATGTAGTGAGTCCGGGGCCCAACAGGGGTGATCTGTGCTTCTCCATTGTTGGTTGTGAGGCTAAAACAGTTTCCCTGGAGGCTCATAAAGAGCCTTCCCAGCCCAAAGTCATCGAAATCACTGTCAAAACCACAAACTGCAGCATACTGACCTGACTGTGAATTCCCACTGCAGAAAGCACCCTGCAACCTCAGTCAGATGCTGCTTCTTGAGTCTGGAAAACAGAAAGAAAATGCTAAACATCCACTACTCAAACATTTGCCAGAAAACTTGCAAAACTTTTATCCAGAATTCACTTTCCGAATTGCAGAACTGCCTGAGGTACAGTGACCCTGCGTCTCCTCCTTTGCCCCAGACGGTGCTCCACATGGTCCTTACCAGCTTCCCCCTCGCTGCCCCAGCCTGACCAGGGGCTGCGGGGCCGCTTGAGTTTTGCGGCATTCTCACAACTACAACAGAAGGAAAGCTGGCAGCGCGCAGCTGAGGCTGGGCTAGACGCTGTAGACTGCACAGCGGGAAAGTCCCAGCCGTCCCCCGGGCCACACTCTGTGTTCTTGGAGTGTGTGGTGCATCTGTAACCCGTGCACATGTTGCTCATTTTCATTACGGTTCACTTCAGTATGAAAGGAAACTGTAATCGGTGTGTAACACTGCAGAGTATTGTGTTTCAAACACAAAATAACCCAGTCATGTGTTTAATAATTAGATGCCTAGTCTTCTTAGTGCTTTATATGATGCAGAGATCCTCAGTGTACTGTTACATAGAGATTTACACTGTTTGGTGGTATTTGGAGCAAATTGATTGAAATTTTTGGATGAGCCTGGAATTCATTATAATTGTTTATATGTAAAATAATGGAAGATAGTTGTTCTCATTCCAAAAACCCACCACTGGGTGCATTTTGGGGCCCAAATTAAATTGACGAAGAGGAGGACTTGCTTTCCTGGCTGATGTAGATGATCTACAATAAGCATGCCTAAAGCGTATGACATACAGCAGTGCCCTCTGCTCTGACTGAAACGAAAGCATACTTATGTAGAGTAGGAATTTCAGCTCCCAGGCTTGACCTACAAGATCATTTGCTTTCTTTGTTTATATCACAAGTGGCCATTTAGCCCGGAAGACATCGGTGTCTTCATTTGGGAGGAGCTGCCATTGCTTCTGGGCCTTTTGGGTGGGGCCGAGTGTGGAAGGGGCTTCCATGCTCTGAGTAAATTCCAAGCTGTGCCTGTCCCATGGGGCACTGGGCTCGTGAGCCACTAGAGCACCCGCGCACGGCCTCAGGTCTCCGCCAGCCCCTGGTGCTGCTGGACTCCATTTGATCAGAAGAGACCACTGTGCAGCCTTCTGTGTCTTCCCTGCCTCTGGTGGCCGCATTAGTGTCCTGGTGCCACAAACACAGCAGCGTAAAAGCCCCAAAGATATTGTCTTACAGTCCTAGAGATCAAAAGTCCTAGCTGAGTCTTTGGGGTGAAATCAAGGTGTCAGCAGGGCTCGTTCCTTTGCGAGCAGAATCTTTTATTTGCCTTTGCACTGTCTAGACATCCACTTGCATTTCTTGATTCATGGCCTTTTCTGCCATCTTCAAAGCTTATCACATCTCGTCCTGCTCTGCCATCTCCTTCTTAAAAGAAGCCACTGCGGACTCCAGGACACGCCTCATCTCAAGATAATTCACTTGATCACACCTTTTGCTACACAAAGTAACAGGTTCACAGTTTCCAAGAATTAAGACATGAACATTTTGGGGAACATCAGTCCACCTTGCACATCCCATCTAGCCATTCCATCCCCACTGCCTCTGGCACAAATGCAAATAAGGGTGCAAATTTGCCTGTCAACTGGAGATTGAATAAAAATGAAGTGGTTTTTAAAAATATAAAATGGAGTACTACTCAGCCGCGAAGAATGAAAAACTAGAGACATTTATAGCTAAGTGGATACACACCGAGGCCATGCTCTTAAGTGAAATTAATAAGTCATGCATGTATTAATACCGAATAGTTTCTCTGATATGAAAAACTAAAAGTGTAAATAAGGATCAAAATGTATATTTGCTATTGTGTAATAGGAAGAAAAGGTCTAAAAGAGTAGAGGAAGTGGGAGGGGTAGGGGAAGGGTAAAATGGGAAAAAGAGAAACTGTGGAAAGGAAAAACATGGAAACAATGTCTTTGTAAACAGGAAAGAGTGGAGGGGCTAAAGGTGGGCTGGGGATGGGGAAAAATAAAAACCAACACCTGTCATGTAAAGGTTCAAGATCCCAGTGATGAATGTGACTGCAGTGTATACCTAAAATGTACCAATACACTTAATAAAGATTAAAGACGAAAAAAGGTGCAATCTCCCTGCTCTCCCCACACCCCCAGGACCTGCAGCCCTCTCTGCTGTCAGTCTTCTGTGCCCTCCTCAGCGCCCCACCCCAGACAAGCAGAATCTTGTTTTTAGTTTGGAAGTGAGAAGACAATTCCTCCTTTTCCTAAACGTTTTGTTCCAACCCAGAACCTACTAAGTGTTCCTAAATATTTAGGCCTTGGGGACATGAAAATAAATGATATATAGTCTGTTTCTACTTTGGGGCCAGCTACTTTCTTTTCTTGAGATGACAGAGCAGGGCCAACAATTTGATTAAAAGGATAGAAGCAAAAGGGAGAGATACGGGAAGGGAAAATTCTGTAAATTAATATCACAAATATTGTCCAGTAACGTGTGCACTGACATTTCTGAGGGCTGAGTGCACAGGCTTGTCAGGGAGGCTCCCGAGGAAAGGCCCTGGAGTCTGGCTCCTAACCTCTCCCCTGCTGGTATGCGCTTGCCCTTGCTTCTAATGCAGCTACAGCCTCGCTCATCTCCGGGAGCCCCCCAAACTGTGCCCCTTCAGACTGTTGCCCCAAATCTGCACAACATCTTTGTCCACGTTCTTCATAGCTCAGCTCAGACAAGTTGGCATTTTCACCAAAAACCGTATTCAGCTCTAAAAAGTGAGATGGGCACAGTGACACGGTAACGCAGCACAAAAAGTCTGAAGACTCCGACAGTCAGAGTCAAGATAATTCCCTCAGCCAAGAGGCCTGGGATGGCCAGGCCTGAAGTGTGCCTGGTTTTCTCCCTTCACTGTCACCTCCCTTATCTGTGCCCCACAGCAGGAGTGCCATTATTCTTTGTCATGGAGCAGGAAGCCAGGTAACTTTCCTTCTTCCTGGCCTACATTAAATGAAGCCCACATTCTGAAATCTGCTGTCCATCCTGAAGCAGCACCACTGTGAAGGACAAACGGATGCATTGGCCTTCAAGAGTTGGGTTATCAGCTCCACCTGAGGAACTGCACCAGCCATGGGAAATGGGACATTTTTATTCGTAGGTAAGACCGAGTCTCTCTCCTCACACACACACACACACACACACACAAAATTACCTCAAGAATGTAACAACTATACTTTCCCTACAGTTACATGGTTAGGCAGAAGGAAAGTAAAATTTTCAAAGATGTAATTTGAAGGAAGAAAATATAACCTACTTTTTAGAAAAAAGAAATACAGAAGCAAAGCAATCCAATGCTGGGCAGAAGATTTCAGTAGACATTTCTCCAAAGAAGATATACACAGAGCCAACAAGTACATGAAAGGCCAGCAAGGGCTCAACATTAGCTGCTGGGAGAAGTCAAGTAACTTCAGTAGGATGCAACTTTACACCCACTAGGGTGACTGTAACTAAACAGGTGCATAAAAGGAACAGAAGCGGTGAGGGCTGGGACGTAGCAAAATGAAAACCCTCCTGCACGTCTCGTGAGGTACAGCGGTGTTGCTACTGAGGAATTCATTTTGGTAGTTTCTCGAAAAGTTCAACAGGATTATCATATGACCACTGTCATGCCACCTGCCTATTTTAACAAAAAGAAAAAATATATATATAGGACTTTATGATTGCAACTCCACTCCTTGCTTTATATTCCAAACAATGGTACACAGGTGCTCAGACAAATATAAATGTATATTTTTGTAATGTGTATAACTGTCCTTAGAAGTTTTGTTGAAAGTAACCAAAAATAGAAGCAAGCCAAATATCCATCACCGAGGGCCAGGGATTTAGCTCAACAGTTCAGTGGCCTGCCTTGCAAGCACAAGGACCCGAGTTCAATCCCCAGTACCAAAAACAAACAAACAAAAAAACAACAAAAAACAAATATCCATCACCAGATAAATAAATTGTGATATATGGGTAAAGTGGAATTTAATCGTTTATTTAAAATTGGCGTACTTATACATGCTACATAACAGAGAGGAACCTTGAACACATTACACTAAGTGAAAGAACGTGAACAAAAGGCCTCTCATTCCAGCAAGTTAACCCCCTCTGAGCCTCAGTTTCCTCAACCATAAAGCAAAACAGGGCTTGTACTACCCACTTTACAGCATTACTATAGGAACAAAATGAAACTCTATCATGTAACAGTGTTATAAAATACTAGACATTGTTATCCAGGTAATATTCACTCAAATGCACACTTAGTAAGAAAACTGATAGCTTCCTTATTTCTCAAAGTCCAAGTAGTGATAAATGTACTCACAACTTTTCATTTTTAGTTTGCATGTGGTAAGCAAGCAAATAGAATAGACACTTTTGGTTAAAATAAGTAGGCAACATTATTAAAAATTCACTTTAGGATATGAAATCTCATTAGAAAAGTGGCCTGAGGGAAGATAAAGCCTACCTCACACCATTATAGACAGGTGACGGACGAGTAAGTCACTTCGTATGCCCAACAGGCACAAGTGACACAGCAATGTTTGTGGTACAGAAGTCTTTTTCTAAGCAGATTTTTACAAGGTTTTCAACAGAGTAAGATAAAAATATGGGGGAGGTGATCTAAAGGCATCTTTAGTTTAAGAAAACATATAATGGAATTTGTGGTTGAAATGGCTTAATTTTTAATTACCCTGTTAACAAATAATGTCCTCCCGCTAAATCAGGAGAATGAGAAATTTACTTAAAATACAACAGAAAAATTATCCAAGTATTAAAGGACTTTGGAAATATTACCAGAAGATGGTCTCTTTTGTCGCTATGTCTGTCTTTCTCTCTCTGTCTCTGTCTCTCTCTGTCTCCCTGCACCCCATAAGTAGTCTCAAAGGAATTGAGTAATTAATATCTGATGTCTGATGAAACAATTAGGGTTTGATAGCATATTTATGAGGCTGGTAAGTAGTTATCCTCT